TCAATATGATTTGAAGAAAGACGAGGATAATTTGAAAAAGATATATATTCGGAGTGCAAAATCTGTTAACATCGAAAACGATAGTAATGACATCACGGTGCAATGCATACCAAACCGCTTAAAGAAATCCTTACACGAAAACGTTTATATATATATATATAATAGATATATAATAGATATATATAATAAATATATATAAGCGGTTTGGTATGCATTGCACCGTGATGTCATTACTATCGTTTTCGATGTTAACAGATTTTGCACTCCGAATATATATCTTTTTCAAATTATCCTCGTCTTTCTTCAAATCATATTGATCCTTTTACTAATTATATTCATATTTTTCAAGCCAAATTCATGTTTCTGCGTTTCAAATCCATTCTTTTGTAGATTATGTTAGTCCTACTGCGAATTATATTTATTCTATTGCAAATTATATTTACCATTTGGAAAATCAAATTGATCCCTCAGCGAATCATAAAAGATGTTTAATAGAAATCTAAATTGTGATTCTTAAAAATTCTTTATTATAAACTTGAATTATGATAAAGCTTTAATATAGAAGTTTAAATAGAAATGTTAATTTATACCAGATTTCGGTGGTAAAAATATTCTGACGATAATAAACATATTAATATTCCTTTCTATGTATGCACACTGTATTAATGAACGCGTTAAATAAAAATAGATGCACCGCAGTTATGGAGGCACGCAATCTCGAATGAGATGAATACTTGAACACTTACTGCCCGTACGAGAAGTAATGTTATTATGACATTCTCGTTTAATTAAACAATGATTTATAGAGCGTACAAGTTGAACGAATGACGTTGCATTTTGCCGTCCCCAACGGGCAGTTTAACGCAAAGATCAAACAAATACAAAAAGAGTTACGCTCGTGATAGGATTTAGAGCGTGCTGAATAAAATTCTGGTTATTCCTAAAATCCACCAGCGGGAATTCAAATATCGGAAAAAGAAAAGCTATTTGTACGAGAATAAAAAACGTGTTCGACTTCTTTGTGGCCGAGTTTTTTTTAAAGAGAACTTCGCAAGATTAAAAAAAACAATATATATATATATATATATATATATATATACATGTACTTTACGTCATACATGACACGAGATCCGCCGACGAGATATGTAAAATAATTCCGGAATTATCCGCAGAATCTTCGATATTTCGCGCACATGAATAATTTAATTACGAAATTTCAGTGTACGGAGATCGTGCGCAGTTTTTGAAATCCTCATTCATTATATCAGATAAAAAATTAGCAAAAAATTGAAGGGAAACAGATATTCGCAAAGAGATATTCCATGAAATAAGAGATTTACTTTTGCGCCATATAAATGCAAGTAACAGTAATGAATCACGTTCTTATTATTACGCTGCGGATTTTTATGCAAAAGAGAAACTTTCTGTGTGAGAAAATTAATGATTTAAAAGTTCCAGATTGTAAAAAGTTCCCATAGTGAAAATTTTTAAGACTCTTTCGCGGACGAATGTTGCTTTGTTCAATAAAAACTGTGAACATATACATTTTTCACTATCAATATGAAAAATCGTGTATTAATTGTATAAAAAGGTTTCTGAAAGAAGAAGTTTTATAATTTTTCAGTATGAATCGCGTTCTCATTGAGACATCGTAATAAAATGATTAGACTGCGAACATTTCTGTCAAATAAAAAGTTTCTGTTGCAACAAATTAGGGCTACTCAGACATTTCTTTCCTTTTTCAATAACCTTAGCAAATCGTAAGTAATTCATCAACATTTCGTAAATCTAATATTTTTTAAAATTGCAGTACTCGTTTTCGTCATGAATGGACGAAGTTCGCGATTTAATAATCGTTAATAAAATATTCCGAAAATAGGCTATCATTTTCGCCACAAGTAGCTCCAATATGTCCAATCTGTCAGTGTTTATCAGCAGATCCCAAGTACCATAAATGCTTGTAGAGGCATAATTCCATGACGCCTAATAAAAACTTCGTTTAAATTTCATTCCGGCAGTTCCTGTGCAGAACTGTTCGAGCATTTTTTGATCGTGCCGTGCACTTGTCCCGTATAATCGAGCAGCCATCCTGTACGGAATCTGCCATTCCGTTCGACATCGATGAACATAACTTCGAACATAATTATAAAATACTTTTAGCGAGGTGTTCGCTGAAAAATTAAACGTCGCTCACCCTGACTGGAAATTCCGGATTTCCTTGCACGAACCGGCAATCGCTCGAGGCGAGCGTGGAAAGATCCAGTATGTGAAACAACGAGTCGCAAGGTGCAACAGCGAGAGAGTATGTTGTTGCAGTAAGAGAGAGAGAGTGAGAGAGAGAGATAGAGAGAGAGAGAGATAGAGAGAGAGAGAGAGAGAGAGAGGGGGGCTGGGAATCGCGAAGGAAAGGGTGGTGGGGTCTTACAAGAGGAGCTGCAGCTGCATATTCTGGAGCAGAAATCCTTGAACACGCTGTGCAGAGACCCACCACACCCCCTCTTCACGCGCCCTCTCCCGTGCCCGTAAGTAATCGAGCAGTTCGCGCTATCTTTTTATGGCTTCTCATGGCCGACCCAGAAATTTCCTCTCCTTTGATAATTTCGGATGGCCGCGGTACGGGCTCCGCCGGCTACAGCAGCTAAATCTTATCAGCTGCTACTTCGTTGGGTCTACTTTTCCGCTGAAAGAACGACGATAGATAGATGATCCTGTTACGGTGCATTATCTAAAATCGCATTTTCGACCAGTAACCAACATACCGTCCTCGACGGTCCTTCAGGTACTGGGAAAAAGCGTTTACACACTGCTGTGTCTTCCCTCGAATTGGGATTATTAGTTTTCGCGGTACAACACACGGACAAACACGGTTTCCTTCAGCCTGACGTTTGCGAGAAGCTGGGTCCTTGGAAGATGCTCTGGCACAAATTCAGTTGCCTTTCATTAAAAAATTTAAGCGATCGCCTTTAAATTTATTTTCGCAATCAAGGTAAATGTTTGATGTTATCATTTGTTATGAAATTTAATTTATTTGTTTTATTATTTATTTATTTATTTTATTTTTCAATTTTAATGATTTAAAAGTTATTTTGTTATAAATTACAAAAATTAATGTACTGTACTATAAAAAGATTAATAACGTTCAATATGATTATGATGATAAAATTAGTAAATTTAATCATTCGTTTATTATAAATAATCGATTTTTAAATAATATGAAGGAATACTATGTATAGGTACTTTGTTTTTAGTAATATAAATTCCATGCCTATAAGGAAACTTTTAATTCTCAAACTGACTTTATTCCCCATTCTAATTTTGATGAAATGATCTATAAAATTCGGGATTTGCATCAGTTATACTAATTATATATATATAATTGCTACACGAATATTAGAAGTTGAATGAAATGAATTTGGAAGTTTCTGGTTGTAAAAATTTCCGATATTGGAAAATACTGAAATCTGTTTCAAACAAAGGTAACCTAGTTCATTAAAATCTGTGAACATATAACACTTCTCATTATACTATAATGCTTGAATTAAGAACTTTTTATCAAAGAGTTCCTCATAGGAGGTTTTTTTATAATTTCAGTAGCTGTACAAGAAAAACTTCATTTCGACTGGTTTGTTAATTCGAGTGTTAAGTAATATTCCGAATCGTATCGAACAACTTTTTATATCATGAGAGATTTGGAAAATTGTTCCAACGTTTGCGTTTCAATTAAATACATTGTATAAATTGTGCGATATTCACAGTTACTCCACCAGTCGCGTGAAATCGCTTCTATTCACGTACGCCGCGCCGCGCCGCGCCCATATGCGTGTTTGCAATCTGTCACGACCGCCGACTATGTTCCCTTTAAATAAAACAGAAACTCATTGTCAGGACTCTTACGTTGTAAAATGGAAAGTAGCGAACCGCACGTGCTGGTACTCGGTGAACACGCTGTTTAAAATACCGTTTAATTATAAATAGACTGCGAATCTTTATGCAAACATCGGTTCGCGTATTTACACAGAGAATTTACACAGAGTCGCGAATGAATTCGTAATAACGCATCAATCGATGGAAAGATCTGCTCGTGTAAAACCAGCGTTAACACTTCGTTACGTTTTATCGAAGCGTTTATGAGTTTTGTAGGTTTGAGTACACCAGAAACAGGTGAAACGTACGTCTAGTTATGTATTACACCGTTGAGCAACGTACCGTGTAATTATCGTCGACTTAAACGCTGATCTATCCTCACAACTTCGTTATGTAATCGTAGCAAATGACTAATCTAAAGTACCTAATGAGTGAACTTTTATTTCGTTTTTGCAGAGTTTCAAACTCGTTAGAGTTGATAGGTCTTAATAGATTAACAATCGGAGACATGATTCAGAGTGACGTGAATACTTTTTCCTCGGACCGCAGCTTCCACTGCATTCGTTTCCAACAGTTTCTTGCCTACATTGCATACTTCCCTTCATCTCGATACATCGCTCTATTAATCACTGTTCTTTCCCACCAATTTTACCGCCTATACCACAAGTTCT